TATGAGCAAAAAAATGACAAGTGTAATGGCATGCTCAGAAGAAATCCTCTCTTAATATTTCTTGTTAACAAGATACAAGTTAAGATAACAATATTAGCAATACGAATATTTACAATAATTAACTATTTTCACAAAACATACTTATAAAAATACATTATTACTTATTTTAAACAAAAATATTATGGCGGTTGCATGAAATATTTATATGTGAAAAGTTTAAGCAAGACAGTTGAATATCTAAAAAGCTTATATTGCTTATAGTAATTTCCGAGAACATCATCCAGTCGAGTTTTATGTGTTGTCTATGTGCTAGCCTCTTAGGGAAGCGGCTATTTTTTCGAAACCCCATAGATCTGTAGAATGTTATCGATGGCGACTTCGCTATAGGAAACGCTAACCATGTTTGCTGATATAAACATGCCTCATGAATCTCATCAGGATTCTTCGCAAAACTTGTCGAGAAAATGAAATATAGTCTTTTAATGACAGTTCTCTATTCAGTACTACTGTGGTAAAATCTTCCCATCTTTCCAGTGCATATACCAATCTTAAACCAGTCATCTATAGGTGCTCAATTAGTTCCTGTTGCTTCGCTGTAAAGAAAAACCAGGTAACGAAAAGCCAAATGGAGTGAGAGAGTGCGAACGCTAAGAACAGTCTTTTTCTTATTTTTTTAGAATTGAGTAAAATAATATATGTAGTGCAGCATACACATTTCTAATTATTACGATTCTGTTTATTTAGCTCGAATTTCTACTCCTAAATATTTAAACATTAACACAAATTCAATAACAATTCCTTTATATTCAGCTACTGGTCGTTGAGGTACTACTACATTATGTACGAGCATGGCTTTCGTTTTTGAAACATTCACTGATAATGTCATATTGTCAGCAAATTTTTCTAGTATTTCTAATGCAATTTTCGCTTAAGTTTCTAATTGGATGATATTATCTGAGAATCTTTTTTCTCTTTTTTGCACATCTGACAAAAAGTGCGATTATAGTATTCGGTTGGTAAGTTTTTAAAAAGTAGAGCAGATGTTCCTGCACTATCAATAGATTTCTTACAGTTAAACTTTTTCCACTGTTGCATAACTTCTTACATTTTTATTTTATCCAGAGGATCTGAAAGACGTGAGATCTCTTCATAGTCTTCCATGGCTTTCGTGTGAAAAATATTGCTCTTATGATACGCTGGGGCTTCAAAATGTTTCTCAAAGAAATTCGCAAGTATATCAACTACTTTTTGAGGGTCTCTAACTATCCCATCTGTTGTCTTTAACCCACGAAATAGAGGCGTAAATGGATGAAATGTAGAGTCAACAGATTTCCAAAATATTTTGCCCAGTCGACATTCACTTCATTTTCCGTTCGCGTTGTGATTGTTAATAAAGAGATCTCTCCGCAAAGTAAATATCTTTCCAATAGAGAAATTCATTTAAATGTTGTAAAAAACGCGTTCTCCTATATTTTCTTTTAAGTCTATTTTGTTTTCTTGCTAGCTTTACTAGATACATCGGCCGCGGTGGTCTATATTGTTTAATTGGTTTCCACTCGCTCACCCTATCCCATAGGGCAGTTAGAAACTCTGAAAAAACGTGGTAAAATATTAGGGATCGTTTTTATAAACATTCACATTCCATTCCGGAGAGATGCTTTGAAGAAAGGTGTAAATTGCCCAATTTATCTTCCGAAATATACCTTTATCGGATGTAGAAAATGGGGATTGAATCATCACTGGAAAATGGCCAGAGGTACCTTCATCGTCTACATCTGTTTTCTAACCCTCTGCGAATCATTTGTAATTCCAAAATCAATTATCGCGTCTGATTTACGCGAAGTGGGTTTTGGCGGCACTCTTATTTTGGATCCTGTATTCTCAAGCCAGTCAAAAGCTGATTTCTTGTTTGATTATTAATCTCACAGTTCCACTGCGTATGTTTTGCGTTGTAATCCCCAAAAATATAAAATCGCTTATCTAAATATCTTTGAAAAATATGAAATGGAGGAAGAGAGTTTGGTGGTACGTAAACGACTCTCACGATAATGGGATCTTGACTTAAATCTACTTCAATGAGCAGAAAATTATCTTCTCTATCGATTACAACGCTTTTTATTGATGTGTGTATTAAAAAAGCAACACATCATATGAGTTAGTACCAGTTTGGCTTATCCAGCAATACGACGGAATCTTAGGGAGCTTTCTCCCCGCTGCACCTATTCCTGTTAACATCCAGATCTTCGGTACATACATCGAGATGACAATCCAAGGGGGAAACGGCAGATTTTGTGACTTTTTTAATCTGGGCTCCGTTCCACAGGCAATCAATTTTTTTCGAATTTTGTTGTACTCCTGGAGACTCCTTGGTATTCTTCGTGACTTCACTGTGCCCGAGAAATTTTCCTGACTGTTTTTGAATTTTCCCGCGTTTTTTCCACCTGAAGTGCTTCATTATCATTAGTAAGTCGCTCTTTTTTCCAGTTTTAACACAACGAGAAAATCGACTGTGTACCATTCCACTCAGAAAACATATCAATAAGTACCACTTTAGATGAAAGAGGGCCCTCGAACGCATTAATCAACTTATTCCTCAATTGCAGCAAATAAAAACTATGCTCATTAGACATTTTCGGCAACTAATGTTTCAATTAAACTTCTTACCAGAAGTTTATTTTGTCTTTCCATAACACCCATTAACTTTTCATGATGTTTTTGAGATAATTTGGTACGGTCGAGAACCATTTCTGATGTTTTTGATAGTTTGTACAGAATTTGATTATAATTTTGTTACATGTTTTCGTTGTCATTATCACTATTGTCAATTTCAATTACTCTACCACCAATTCCTATTATATATCTTTCTACTTCTATTATTTCTAGAAAACGGCTAATTTATATATCTGTACTTCAAATTACAATTTTTTGATTACTCCTTAATTAAAAAGTGGCCGCTTTTTGGAAACGCAGAATAACATAAATTTACTCGTTCCAAAAAGCGCCCACTTTTATACTAATTAGCTTATATTTCGGCCACATTTAGGAAGGTACGATTATCAATAGATAATTAAATGCAGGTAGACTGAGAAGCCGCAAACAGGAGCTTGTATGATTCATTACACAATGAATTACTACACTGCTATGTAGATGCTGTTTTGAGTTTCTATTGTGCTAAAGGAATTTTGTATAGATGGTTAAATATGAAGTGATGTTCCAGTATTATGTAAATAATTTGAAGAAGGCTGATTCATTTAAATTTTACAGAATGTTACTGCTATATTTTTTATAAGTATTGGTTTCCCATAGTGTAGATTAAGAATGCCATCAAAACAGCGACGTAAAAAAGACGCTTAATAATAATCCAAAAAACTCTCCCAAAAATCGTGAGTTTATCATTTTGAAACGACCATGAACGCTTTTTAGTTTTTTGGCCTAAAACTCTTTTGGGTTTTTTAGTCCAAAAAACTCTTTTATTGCAGTTTATTAATCAACGACTTTTTTTTAGAGTGCAGCATCAATCATTTCTCTTCAGGACTAGACGTTGTTCAGTTCATGCAATGTTGTAGAAATGTGTTCTTTTTCCCAACCGAATAGCTGCAATATGGATATTACAGCTGAAAAATAAACGTCTCAGTGACGATAAATAATTGTTCGATCTATTCAGACGATTTTCGAAATTTTCAAGTGGATTTTGAAAAGAGATTCTGGACAACACGTTTTCAGAAGATCTCAATTCCATGACATTTAAGATGCCTGTTTCCTATGAAGTGGATTTTTTAACAAAATCGCACTCAATTTTTTTTAAAAACATATCGGGCTTCTAGGAATTAAAAATCTACTAATTTAAAAAAAATTAATTTTTTCATCAACAAATAAATATCAAACTAGAGAGTAATTGTGTAATTGTGCAAATAAGGATCTCAACACTGAGAAATGCTTCCTTCTTTTCCTTTTCTATTTTGCGTCACGTATATCCACCTGGCCAAAATAAATGGAACACACTATTTTTACAATTAATCCTCCATAAAATGGAAGTTAACTTCCATTGTATGGAGGATTAATTTTAAAAATAGTATGTTCGACTTATTTTGGCCAGGGGATATAATGAACATGTTCAAGTACGATAAATACTGGAAGCTTGTATTTTATCATTTTGTATTAATTTGTATAATTAATAAAGAAAAATGCTATTCCTAGCAGTTTTTTACTTCCTATATTCGACTTTGTTCTCCATCGCTCTTCTCAATAGATTATCTTTCTCTTCTTTCAAAACATGCTCTTACGCATAGAGGATAAAACGGTGTGTACTTGGTATAAGTTTTACATTGATTTCAGCTTTTATATTGGGTTGTAGTACAAAAAATATGAAAATTATTTGAAAACTTTTCTCAATTTTGAAGTCCTTACCTTATTTCGCGAGTTTGTAACGTACACGGAAAGGGTCCTATCCAAAAAACAAAATTCCAATGGCAAAAAGATAGAGCGTAAGCTGAAGTGTATGACCTGCTATTCAAATCTCGAAAAACTGCACCTAAATATAACGTGGTTGCCCACTGTGAAGGGTGTTGAAGGACATATTGACGAAAGGCAATGACGCACTCAGTCTTTGTATCAAAGAAAAATAATTAAGAAAACACAATATATTCATCAAATTTCTGAAATCAGATATTTAGTTTTTGTCATATGTTGTACATCTTAATGTTTTTTTTGACAGTTCAACGTCATTGATAAAATTAGAAAAGTGTTGCTCTTTAGAGATTAAATTTTGATTGTCTGACATTTCTTTTCTATCATACTTTACAAGAAAAGAATAATCTGATAATCTCCGTTTAAGTATATTAATAGTTTTGTAATTTTTTCTGCCAATAAGGTTGGTTCTTGAGAATCATTGAGAAAGGACTTAAGTTGTCAAAAACATTGATATGCACAACACATCACAAAAATCAAATAGTTAATTTCACATATTCTAATTTCATATCTAATTTTCGTTACAGTTCAAAATGAGTAGCAATCAAACGGAAGGCACATTATTGGAACAAATCTTCACATATTATCCATTATCGCTTGTTGTTGTTGGCACTATTTTGAATTTGTTAACATTTTTGGTATTTTGTCGTCCATTATTTCTTAGTCGTCCAACATTTCACTATTTACGTGCAATATCCCTGTTTGATATTATGATGTTATACGGATGGAATTTAGATCACTATTTTAACGGTCGAAAGGAACTTCCATTTATTAGTCGTTCATTATCAACGTGTAAATTCTTTTCCTTTCTAAATTATTTTGCTGCACAAGTTTCTGCGTGGCTTCGTGTTTTTATATGTATCGATCGATATCTTGCATTATACAATTTGAGTTTATATAAAAGAAAAATAAATTTTCATAAAACAGCTTTGATTATTATATGTTTAATATTAACTACCATATTTCTACTAAATTCTCATATTTTAATTCTTTCATGTTACACATATACGAGTAATTCGACAAATATGACAATAGTATCAATTTTCTCGCGTTATTATCGACTATATCCTATGTGGGACTATGTTAATCTGGCAATTTACAATTGTATACCATTTATACTCATGTCCGGATTTAATAGTGGAATTATTTATTACTTAATTCAAATAAAACGTTCATCACTCGTTCAATCTAAGTTACAATATATTCAAATAACAATATCATTAGTTATATCAACATTACTCTTTTCTCTTATGACAGTACCCGGTACAGCCGTTTATGCTTTTTTCCTTTCAATGATATCAAATAAATCGTACAGAGCTGGTTTACTTTACTTACTTGATTCAATTTTATACACTTACCATATAACAAGTTTTATACTTTATTTTATTGCATTAAGAGAATTTCGAGAAGAACTAGTATGTATGATTAAATGCAACTTTAAAGTAGCAACGATCGGCGATAAATATAAAACACCAACTGTAAAAAGAACAACAGAAATGTAAAATCGAACAATTATCGTAATAGTAATTGTAGTACGTCGTATCAAATCAAAGTGCTACAACAAAATTCATCACATGTACGTTTATCTTGTCAAACAACAACATTCAGCACCAACTGTTTTTAAATTGACCTCTACCAATGCAACAAGTAACGTCCTATTCAGATTCATCAACTCTCTTGACGTTAAATCACAATGACCATCTTTTTCCACTCCGTTAGTTATGTAGTTACTAAGCGCGTATCTGCACATATCATCGGACTTTGAAATTTTCAAATGCGATTTGAGTCCGGGGCAGTGCAATATTCGGAATCAGCATGATCGATTGTCTATGGGTCCATGATTTTTATTCCCCCATACTTGTGAAAATTAAATTCGGGAATCTTAAAAACAAATTTGCCAAAAGATTTATGCGTTTAGGGGGATTTGAACTTCGACCCTGTGCAAAATTAATTAGATAGATTAATGTGTTGTACTGTTTTTCTTGTAATGAGTCTGTTTTTAATTTTGAATATTTTCCTTTTAAGCGTGTATATTTGCTTCTATAATCGGTCGTAAAGACTAGACAGTTTCTGTAGAAAAGAATACAAACTCAATACTTTTTTAGAAGAATATTTGACATTTAATCATTTTCACAATTAGGAGTTTTTCGTGTTAGAGTGCCTATAATCATCATCGACATGAAAACATACCAATCCTCACTTCTTTTGCCATTGATGAAGTAGAAAAATTTTAGAAAGTTTTACTTGAAATTTTAAAATCTTCTCTCACAAACACTGACTTTAAAAAAATTAAAATTGTGATTATACGCGTAACACGATGAGTTCCGTTCAACTGTCAATCATTTTCCCATTTTCTGTTTTTATCCTTCAATCTCTTTCCGATTTAGATTCATTGTTCGTCCGTATACATATGCGATTGTGTTGGTTTTTCTATTGTGTATTGTCGCGCTGTGTACCGATATAATGGTTCGCCAAATCAGAAGGATGTGACGTTTATTTTATGTTGAGTCTGCTCATTAGTTATTGAAATAAAGATGAAACTAAAGTATTTAAAGTATAGATTATTGACTATTCTGCATCTAGTGATCGTTTTTGCTATTGAAACAAATGCGCTTGATGAAAATAGAATGAACCAGATCTCTAGAGATCGGTCCCTATTTCCATTGGATATGAACAGCCCAAGATCATCTCCGCTAACGTCAGAATAAATTATATCAGTTTTGGAATGATACAACTGTTTGATCCAAAATTATAGACTTCAGCATTAAAACTAGAAGCTAAATCGTGATCAGTCTCTTTCGTTCGTTCCTGGAGACGATCGGCATTACACCATGAGGCATAATGTAATTTCAAATTTTGTTTTTGTTTCCAATGTTTGCCTGACATACTTGCATCTCTCGCACTTATAGTTTACATATCTACGGTTGATATTTATTTTATTCAATAATGTTACTATGAAAACAGTTTACTGACGAGGGAATCTTTCGAGATGTAACCTTCCGATCCCAATAGTTTGTACATAGATCGATAGATCTTAGTGAGGTAGTAAATACCCTAAAAGGATTTGTATCCATGCCTCTTGAAGATCTGATTTTCTGGAAAACCAGTTTTTCAAGAACTCTAAAAAATAACCCAAACCTTTTTTAATGAAGCATGATTGTAGCCCGCAAATTTCTGATTAAAATGAGACATCTCCCAAGTCTACACGTTCTTTCTTTACAAAGTTATAGAATTTACAAGAAAACCCTAAATATTCATTGTCAGCTCAATGCTACAGAAATAAAAAGAAATTAATTTAGGACTTTTCTTGTAAATTCTATAACTTTGCAAAGAAGGGTCATGTATAGGTGGAAGATGTCTGATTTTAATCAGAAATTTGCAGGCTACAATCATGCCGCATTAAAAAAGGTTCTGGCTATTTTTTAAAGTTCTTAAAATACTGGTTTTTCAGAAAAGCGGGTCTTCAAGAGCCATGGACATGAATCCTTTTCGGGTATTTACTACGTCACTGAGGTCTATCGATCCATGTACAAACCATTAGAATCGAAAGGTTACATCTCGAAAGGTTTCCTTGTGAGAGAATGTAATAAAATGAAAACAGTAGTACGAAATTCAAACTCAATTCAGTAATAAGCGCCGTTAGACGAAATCGAGAACAACTTACATACAACCGAAAAATCCACGTAATCCATATTTAACTCGACAACCGTAACTTGGATAGAGATGAGCCTGTCGGATGGACTTTGATATAACGGACAAAAACATCCATGTTTCCTCCAGAAAATATAAGAATATAACGGCAGTTATACATGCTTCTTGCTGGAAAACTCAGTAATCCGAATATAACTCAAAAATCTTAACCCCTACAAAGCCGATCTGGAGAAAATATAAAAACTCCAGCCCATCAGGAACACAAAATACCATGCTAGTAGTATACGCGGATAATGTGCTGTTCACAAAAAGTTGGCCCTTTCAAAAATGTTTTATCATTTTTTGGGGTACCTTTTATTTGTTTGTAGATTTAACCGTAAAACCTGACTCCCAGCATATGGCTTGCGGGGAGACAGGATAAAAAACACTGATTCATCGGTTAAGGCATGCAATCATGAGTAAAAAATAGAAATTTTGAGAATTTTATCACTTCTTATTCAGACTTGATTGCGTGATCAAAGGTGATGATCTTCGAAATTAGGACGTTAACGAGCTACAAATAGACTTGCAATCGTGTGAGACTTGATCGTAAAAATCATTTCTTAAACGAAGAATACATATGATTAGATTCTGTTTCGTAGCTAGTAGACGTAGAACAGTGATCTAGTCAATCTGTTCAATGTTATTTAGGTTCTTGCATAAATATTCGTACACGGTTCTAATTGTGAATGTTTTTACTATTACTTGAGTTTCTTTCATAATTACAGAGGCAATGGAGTTATTACATAATCGAAGAAGTTATTTACATATAAATAAAAAAACGGAATTATTCATAATTAGCGTTTAGTCACTTGTATTTTGATTAAATCTATGATCCATCACTTTCCCCACCTGCTGGTTCTCGAGGGGCTGGTTCTCGAGGGACTGGGGGTTGTCTAACTCTATCGACTGGTGGATTGCGACTTGCTGATGCTGATGGTGCGTTTCTATTTTCACTTGTTGTATTTGCTGCTGGCGGTAAAGGGTTCTTTACTGGAGGAGTATCTACCGGCGATTCTTTAGATTTATTTGATTTTTTACCAGATAATGTTTGCTTAATTTTATTAAAACGCGATTTGATTTTATCCATGATTTATGCACGTATTAAATGAAAATATGCGTCCTCGTAAAGTAAGTGATTTGCTTTGTGAAAATGTGTCATTTCTATGCTAAAAGAAAGTAACCAGAGAATGTTATTTTACGGATCGATGCATTGAGAGATATTTGTTATCGTCGCTTTTTCGTCGTGATGTCCTCTATCAGGGAAAGGAAGAGAACAGCAAAAATGAGTGACCTTACTATAAAGACGTCTCATTGTCATAATTTGCTCGAAATGAAGTATGTGATGCTAAATGCTTCAGAAAAACTTTATTCACTGTTCTTATAAAAATCAGAGAAATTCTAAAATGATATATATTTACATCACATAATTATATCAATGAATTAAACTTTGCGCTATTAAATTTACTAAATTGTAATTTTGACACAAGGCAGACTATTGAGTAATTATATGGTTGAACCTGATGGAATTTTAAGGTTATATGGTATCGCTATTAACAACATTGTTCGATGCAGTTTTAGCAAAAACTGAGTTAACTTAAAATTACAGAATGAATGAATAGTTTCAAATCTCGCTGCGTTTTGTAAGCTTTTCTTGAAACTAATTTCTTCACGTATGGAAACGAAAAAGATTTGGCTTGCATTCTTTCGCAGACGAATTTGAAGAAAACATTTTTTGCAAATTATTCATCAGAATTATCTAGTAAATAGTATCAAAAATATCTTTGTTCTGGTCTGTAGATCTGGGCTAGTTAACTGAAATATGCACAGACCTTCGACGTGTACATTATCGTTGAGGTAGATTCGATTACTCACAGGTGTGAATGTAACGAGACGTTCTTAATGAATGGAAGAAGGATGAAAGGAGAAAAAGACCGAACACTCTTAACTGAATGAAAGGCAATAACTGATTATATTTGAATATTTTTCCCACTATCTGAAGTATGGCGCTAACTTTTTCCTTCACTTTTTTATACCATTACACTGGATGTCATCTATAGAATTTCACAAGTTATTCATTATTTCGAATGAAAAAGTGGTATACATTTGTACGAAAATTTCCGACAAGTTTTTTGGTGCCGGTGTTTAGTAACAAGAAATGACGGGCATGCACAAATTTTGGACGTTTTCCGTCTTTAACCATGTCGGGCTTTGGATTTAACAGCAAATCAATCAGCAAGCAATTTCAAGGTTGAATCGAATCAAAGTTGCACCAATGTTGAGCAATACGATGGGTCATCCATGACTCATTGGTGGCGAACAACATGAAAAAAGTACAAAAAAAGAAAGTACTCTTTTACACTTAGATCATTATTTTATAGCAAACATTTTTTATATTGCGTATTCATTGTCATACAATTAATTTTATTTTTTCTAGGTTATTGTTTAGTGTAAAAAGTAGGTTAAACCATTCATCAATTAGCCACTTTCTCGTATAGGGATTTATTTTCCAATGATTATTTGAACGAAAAGCAATGAATGAGCGAGCGAATGAATATTCATTGCGACAACAAATAAACTTCCAAGCGGAACAAACATTCATCAATAAGGAAACGATAAACCAAATTTTTAATTGGGAACGAGCAATGTTCAAATAACTCTAAATACTGAGTAATGAGAAATGCTGAGAAAGTAGAGCAGTAATCATGATTTTTAACATACTTATTTGGGAACTAGAGTAGTCGTCAGCATGATAACCTTTGTGAAAATATGTATATAAAGGAGAGATACACAATTCTCTTCTCACACTGTTTTTAATAATATCTGCTGAATTTGTTGAATCTAACATGGCAAAAGATCGGTTATCGATATTCTCTCAAACATAAAAACCATAGTAATTTTTTTCTAATAATACCTTGGTCGTCGCAATGAATATTCATTTGCTCATTCATAGCTTTTCGTCCAAATAATCAGTGGAAAGTAAATCCCTGTACAAGAAAGTGGCTAATTGGGATATATTTTTATGTAATCAATGGAAAGTAACTCCCCCCTTTTCAATGAAGAAAAACTAATTAAATTAGAAATTAATCAACGGATAGTAAATCCGCGGACAGTAAATCGTGTACTCGGTCATGAATGACCCATTTACTTGTAAGCACTTTTCAGAAAATTCGTACATCATAAGAAAAGCCCATTCTGCTTGGAAAGGCAACACTCTACTGAATGTTAATCGACGATAACATGTTTCTGAAACGTTCTGGAATAAAGAATAAAAACTGAGAAAACTTTTTTCAACTTTTCCATTTTTTTGAAAACTTTTTATTTTGTGATTGACATGTTTTAACCAAAAATTGATGGAAAAGAAAATCTTTTTTTATCAATCGATAGCTTATGGACTTACCTTGCTCTCAAAAGCAATCCATTTTTTATCATATGCTTCATTGTCTTTTTATAACAATTCTATAAAATGGATCATGGATGACCCCTGGGCAGGTAAAGGATTAAATAAATTAATCAGAGAAAGACCGAGATTATTATAACTTTAGTTTGCTTTTGTTTTGTTTCAATTGAAAAGTAAAAGTGGTTTTGTGTTAGTGCGAATAATTTCTAGCCGGGTCCTTCCCAACGGACTATCAAAGAAATTTTCCACCATTATTTTAGGAAAACCGAAAAAAGTCTCAGAGTCCGTTTCGGCCTTTGCCCAAAGGTTACCGCAGGAGGATTTGCAGGATAAGTGTTCCCATTCGATTGGTAATACTTAAAATTAATAGACAATTCGTAGTTACCTATATTTTCATGATTTCTTCTTTATTGAAACATATTTTGTTAGCAATAAATCTTGAAATCTCGAAAATTAGCCTAAATATTCGTCATATTTTCAATTTCACGTCCGGTTCTACATCTTTTTTTCCACGTTTGAAGCCGTATTCGGGAACGAACATGAAAAACTGCATCGAACGATGTATATGACCCATTGTCTTAAGACTCGGTTCACGTCGGAAGTGAACAAAAATTCTCTTTCTAGTTTTATAGTTTCTATTTTACATATATCGAATAGAGCAAACATTTTCTACAGGAAAATAAGTTTTCATTCGTTTCAAAGGAAGGGTAAAAAAATAAAAAACTTACAAAGGACCAAAAATGCCCTATCTTAGAAAAAAACCCTGATCCCCTATCCATTTTGTGTCAAATGGAAATGGGCTATTTTGTTCAGAATTTGAGAGTGACTTCGACTATATGATTATTTTTGAAAAATATTTGAGAATAAAAAACCGATCTTATCGCCCACCACTTATTCTTTATAGGTTTTAACGGTATTTTAAACATATTTGATAATCAACTAAAAAACAAATTCTACAGGCAGGTATGTTCGGTCAAGAAAGAGATAATTAACTATTTAAGTAATAAGATAGACTATATTTTTAATTATGAATCTGAAAAAACTACATTCTTTTCTTCTTTTAACTTTTTGAAACTGAAGAATTTTTCAAGACTCTTCGAATTTTTTCCAATTTTCTTACTTAAAAATAGTTTTTAAAAATTAAAACATTTTTTTTCAATCATTTTGATGCGCTCTATCCAACCATGTATAAATAAACGAAAACAAAATCTCTTGTTCAAACTTGGAATTTCCAGGACCTTACTATTCATTGACAAAAGAAGTTGGCTAAGCTTTTTTCATAGTGCCACTACTAGCTACAAGATCAAAAACCACAAACAGTTAATTGTGTAACATGTGTTGATTTATTTAGGAAATTATATTTATTTCTTCGTTCCCATGATTTATGCACATATTAAATGAAAATATGTGTCCTCGTAAAGTAAGTGATTTCCTTTGTGAAAATGTGTCATTTCTATGCTAAAAATAAGTAATCAGAGAATGTTATTTTACGGATCGATGCATTGAGGGATATTTGTTATCATCACTTTTTCTATGCTAAGGTTTTTCACAACAGGTTCGGCATCTTAAATTATTTTGATCTAGATTTGGAAGAACATTAAATTAGAATGAAGAATGCTTAATTTCTTTTATTTTTAGATCAACACATAGATATACATATATATATATATATGTATACATACACACGTACATGTTAACAACGTTGATTTATGCAGTAAATACATACGTACAACTAAAGAAAATATCTACGTTTTTAGTTTTTTGATTGTTGAATGTTCTTCAGAATCATTGAGGGACGATTTATTATCATTTTCATAGTGCGTTGGATGAGACAAGGATAACGTGGAGGAAGATTGCTCATCGACCGATTTAGACATTAAGGTAGAAGTGACTGCAGTAGTTAATGACGGTGCTGTAAATACTCTATTGAATACGGGTAATTGCAAACTTTCAGTGGATATTTGAACGATTTTGGACTAGAATTAGAGAAAAAGAAAAATATGAATAAATAAAATACCAAAGCAATTAATAAAATAATATTTCAACTGTCAGATGATTAGAAATTGAGTTGTTTTCTGAATTTCAAAAGAAAACTATGATATTAGAGGTAAAAGAACGCTGTTTAAACTTTTATGCAGTTAAAAAAGAAAATACGTTATATAGCAGAGTTGTATATAAATCATTGACTTCATTATGTTACCTGATTTTGATCATTATTTCCGTTTTGTTGTCCATCGAGCGTTGTTGATGACTTTTTAATGACTAAAGCTACTTTAGAAATAAAATTTCGTCGTTCAGGAACCACTACTCCTGTTCCATTTGTCAATGCATTTCCACCATTCGATATTGTTTGAGATGATGATGATGGTTGAACAATGCCATCGTATATATTTAATTTTGAAGCCAAATTTGTCTAAAACAAAACCAGTAAATCTAAACATCTCTAACAACACGAACAACAAAACCTATCAATGGAGATGAAATTTCGGTGGGCTTTGAGCTAAAGTAATAGTTTTTCTTTGCGTTACTTACTTCAGCCATAATGGCAATAGGAGTTTTTTGTGAATAGGCAGCAATTTTATGTTCAATCAAATAAAACATATATTCATCATACAATAACCGAATTAAATGAAATGATCCAAATGAAGCTGCACTACGTAATGTCAAATCTCGAATAACCATTGAACTGAAACACATGAAAAATAGATGGTCGATACGTACATTATATTCAGAGTACAACTCGATTGAAAAGAATAGTCAATCAATCAGAAGGACAGTTTGTTTAGTCTCTTCAAGTCGGTAAGAGATGCTCACGCGCAGAACTATATATAACTGCTATTCTGCATGTCTTTCTCCTTACCAATAGAACGACCAACTAAGTAAGAATTGTTTAGCCATTTTAGCATATAATAAATGTGATTGTGTTTGATAAGGTTTAAGAACATCGACAACGACTCCATCTAACCATTGTGCCCATTGTTCTAAAGTTGACTGAGATTGTAAATGTTGTTTAAGATCATTTTCGATACGTGATACAACCAAATCATCACATTCACAAATCCATGATGCTTGTTCCTGTGAATAAATAAAAAAAAAAAATCCATAGACATAATAATTATACATGAGCACATGGCGGCTCATAAGGTTACTTCTTTTTAATTAGCCACTGAATCTACTGAAAATCACTAATCGACGAAAAAATGAACTGGTAAATAAAACTGACCGTTCTTACGTCACCAATTCAACTAGAGACTTAATTTTGCTTCGGTCTTCTGTAGAGATCTTTCTCGTCTGTGTTCTACTATACTTTTATAGTACGGTTACCTACTTGTATATGTTTAAAATCAACTTTATTCAAATCTTGTAACATTTGTTGAACTTGTTGTGAGTTTCGTAAGACGGCTTTGGCCGCTTGAGCCAAATGATTTAGTGATGTATATCGACGGATGGTCATCGAAAATGAATTGACGATTGACAACTGAAATAAAAATAGTATATTTAAAAAGAAAAAAAGTGAAAGATAACTAAAAATATCTACTTTGATAGTTTTTAATCTTTCAGGCATATGAGATATAATTGATTTCAATGTTGAATCTAATGATTTTCCGAATGTACGAATCGACTGTGTTATTTGACCTGAAATTAGAAAAACAACAATATGAAGTGCTATGAAAACACACTTATTCAATATATTGCTTATCACGTATAACAATTCACTTTTAAAATACATACCAGGCATTGGATTAAGTATATCAGGTATAAGGCGCTCAATTAATTGTTGATATAATGTGTAATCACATTGACGAATAAAATCTTGAACTTGTGATAATGAACATATATTCAAAAGTTGATATGCTGTTAATAATTGATCACTAAACAGAACAACGAAAATGAAATATCATGTCTAATCTTTTGATAATACATAGTTTTTTAGTCTAATTAAATTAAATACTTTACCTATGATCACTTTGTGTTGATTTCCAAAAACTTGTCCATATTTGTTCAACTGATGTAAACTGTAAATTTGTAATGACATCAAATAATTTCTGAAAATTAAGAGAAGTTTAGTAATAACAGTATAATTGAGCTCTCTAGTTTTAAACATACAGCACAATGTTCTTTATACGAATCTTCAAATCGTCGTAAATCGGAAAATTTTAAACATTCCGGCAACACCAATGATGAATCAATATGGATACTTTCATATAAGACAAGAGAGTCTAAACAAAAATATATGCAAAGTAAGCAAGGACATACATCTTAAAAAGTTTTTTACAGCTATAAAATTTATTTTCTATTATACTGCAATCGTAGCCGTGAACTTTACACACGATGCTAACACCTTTTCAAAACTAACGATAAATCAGAAATAAAATATTTTCTAAAAGTTTCGAATCGAACAAAAAGAAAAGACTGTGGTATCATTTTGTAGAACTAATTTCGGAGCTTCTGTAATAGCTCACTGCAACTAAGTTATATTCGTATAACTAGAGAGATTAGCAAGAGTGTGTGTATTCAACATACTTGTGTCTTGAGCAAAATGTGATTGTTGCAAATTTAATTTTATATCAGATTCAGATGAATATGACTGATCTTGTAATTCCGTGCAATGAGTAGGTGATGATGATGCAGAACTATTAGCATTAGCAGTTGATTGAGAGAATACACCACGTCTAAACAAAAAGAAAAATTGATTTTGTCAAGAATTTGAGAAAACAGAATAGTCCTAAATGCTTACTTTTTTGTATTTGTTGCTCCAAAATGATGTTGTTCTTTGAACATTAGTTCACCATTTTTGTCCGTATATTGATTAAGAGTAGATGAGCCTTTTAAACGAATACCATAATAATGATATTTTGAATTACCTCTATAAAAGACAAATAAATAACACGTATTAAACATAATAATACAATTATTCATTGCAGATGTAAAAAATTGTCCATATTCAGATAAAAATATAATTACTATAATATTCTTTATGAAAAATTAATTACCTGGTTCCTAATCTTCTTGTTCTTAGGCCTAAAAAGACGGATCGAATTAATTTTCCAAATGATGCTGGATTCACTTGTTCCAATTTTTGTTCCTGACAATGTTGTAAATAAAATGAGTACAATATTGATCTTCTCAATGAACATCCTTCAGCCGGTTCAAAATTATCCACTAACCATTGAACCTGAAAACAGCAAGAGAAAAATGAGTCTAAACTAGTCTATTTTTTAAGATTTTCTTTATAAATTTATCCTTGATTATTTCTTCTTTTTTTATCTCTATGAAACAATTCATAACACAAAGTAGTTGATCTCACTCAATTATAAAAAAGAAATCGTACCGTAGCCGGTGATGCCCTTGTTGTATGAGCTAATGTTTGGGCGGAGTTTTCATCTTGTAAAAAAGTAAATGTACCAGTTCCATTTTCACATGATAAAATATGATGACTATATCCATCACCGGAACTTCGCTAAATTAGAACAAATAATTAAAACCTGTATGCAACGGACAGAAGATATTAGTTAGTAACACGAATAAACAAAGAACGTTTAAACTCGATTTAGATGAAACACACTCTACAACTGTACATTATTCTTTCTAGTCCCCAATTTTTATTCTAAACTCATATTTAATCATATATAAAGTAAACAAATATCAATTAAACACCAAATAGTTGTTGTTCATTAGTCTTCAACACACTTTATTAATGTAAAATGGAAACGAAGAAGACGGTGCTAGACACTCAAATAAATGCTTGGTGTTCAAAGTCAATTCTATCATCTCTTACGGATTGTAATCTAAATATTTGCGGTCCAATAGGTAACTGTTGCTGAGGTAAGTTTAAATCAAGATTTTCATAATTATCTGAGTCTAACTCATCTGCAGGAAGATCATGGTAAACAAAACATTGCTGTTTAATCAAGGGAGTAGAATCATTTACTAATTGCTAAAGTAGCAAGACATGCTAAAAATGTTATAATGATAATAGTTGTATCAACGTACATTTTGTTGTGGATGAAAAAACGAATTTGTTCCAGTATATAATGTTCCATCACTTGTATTAAACTGAAATTGACTAAAATGAAAAAATAAAACATGGTCTTTTAGCGTCTATAAACACGTAATAGTCAATCATTTTTTGTATACACTTATACACGTGAAAGTGAACTGTACATTTTAGGTGTCTGTATACAAAAAATTGAAGAAATTTTTTCGTCTTGCCATCAGCAGATAAACAATAATAATCTCTCTTTTCTTTTGTTTTGAAACGATTCTAAAATTGTTAGTATTAATCAAAAATTATGCCAGTTACATTATTTAAGGTTACAGACAGTAATTTAGAATATACGCAGAAATTTTACTATACAAAGTATTTATTAATGTTCAATCTTCATGAATATCACCTAGTGCTATACTTACACGGGTGCTCCGTTTTGAAATCCACTTCCATTTGTATACGTATTCGATGTTGATGCTTGTGCAGAATTTGAGTTAGTTGCTTGTGCAGTAGCAATGATGACTCGTCCGGTTTGACCCGATGATTGAGATTGATCTCCACTTGTTCCACCTGATGTTGAAGTTGCTATTACGTATTGACTAGCTCCGCCTGCTCCTGTTGGTGTCTGATGTGATATAGAACCTTGGCGAGGTTGAGTAGATTTTGTTGATTGAGGAGATACAAGACGCTACAAACAATAAAAATAATCAGTATAGTCAAATGAGCTACTTGTAATTGATTTCAATCCTATTCTTAAACTGCAACACGGTACATGAGGATATAAACGCTGGATTCGTGATTAACACGTTCTCTTTTACCCTTGTAGACATTGATGGTTCAATAGTGACGAGACTCGAATGAGACAAACCACTTGTGGCCATGAACTATTGAACGGAAATTGAATCACAAAACTAGATTGAAACAAAAAAAAAAACATCATTTATTAAAGAGAATAAAAAACTACAATATCGAAGAAAAACAGCTTAAAATGATAAAATGACCAGGTCAGAACGTTTCTCTATTTCAATAGAATTATTTTAATAAATCTATTGAAATAGAGAAACGTTCTATAATAGAGAAACACGCCTTCAGATGACTTCTTGATAAAAAATACAATATTATTAGGAGACAGTAGTTTAAGTGATTCTGCTATGAATGTAGCATACATTAATTAAAATCAACCAAAGTTTTGAACGTTTTTTTATGAATTTTCTTGTTGTATTTGTGGTTGCAAATAATCTGTAGAACTCATACATAAAGCAAATTAATTTTTTATGGCAAAAAATAATGATTAGAAATTCGGATTTAAATCAAATTTAATAAACTTTGTGCCTTTGCATGTTTCAAAATGGTAAAGTCGATAGGATACAACAGGAGACTTATTTGAAAGTATTTTTAGACTGAAATAAACAAGATGAACTAGATGTTTAAGATTGTATACTCTGCCAGTTGAACACATCAAATCTGTAACTCTTTTCTTAGAAGCTGAGATGCGAGTATCAAATAAATAACGAAGGACTTGTGATGAAATACATTTTAGTCTCTTAAAAGTGTGATTTTCTTACAACACAAAAGTAATCATTCCTAGTCAACATCTTCCCCTTAATCTTCGACTGTTGTGTTGCCAGAGATGTGGTAAATCGACTAATTTTCCTTTCGTGCTTTTTAATACGTTTTTTGGCGATTTTGAATTTTTTTGCAAAAAGACATCAGAACAAAACAGTGGCCCTAAGGATCCTCTCTCAGTTTTCTAGACCTCTCTCTCTCTTTAGCTCTCCTGAAGGCGCTGACCGTTGTTTATTTTCCTAGAATATACCTCATTGTTTTCATAGATTTATGGTCTTATGTTCGATGTTTTTCTTCTGTAATTGAAAATGAGTAGGAAAAAGAACAGTAAATAGCAGCTGTCAGATTAAAGAAGAAGAATCATTACATAGTACCTTTTTGGTAACTTGGCTACTCGTTGTGAATAGTAACTAGTTGAAGTAAGAAATAAGCTGTCACAAACTGGTATATTAACCATATCTAGGTAATAGTTGAAGAGCTCTCTATTTTCTCTATTTTTAAACGAAACTTTTTCCAAAAAGAAAGGATAATCCTTTAAATGTATGCATGAACTTTTTGATTACCTTTTATTTCTCTTCTCATTCTTCACCACATAACTTGACAACGATCAAAAAAATCAAAGAGTGCCAGGCAACAGTGTAACTATATCAACGTTTACCACAGATGAAGCTGAAGTATTTAAAAAAAAGAACAGAGCAAATGGTGGATGTAGGCAAGTTACTAATGCACTGCAAGCATATATAATCAATATTAAAATACTCAGTTTTGTATCTTACAAATATGAAAGGAACAAATATGAAAGATTAAGAAATGAGTCGAATTATCTGTACGAGAAAGAGACGGTCCTCTAAGTAACATGTATGAATAATGTCTAGCTGTAAGATATGGTATCAAAGCAAGGCATTTATACATTTTTATCTATAAATGCTACGCCACAAAATTTCGAAATTTCACATTAATAGTAGAGATTTATGAAAAAAACTTATGGATGCCTTGATTTGACCTACTATATGAGCGGTCGTGTGAGGATATTTCAAAAAAACAACAACCAAACTTGACAAACTAAAATTATTAAATAAAGCAAAATATGTTACTCAAGACTTTTATTGAGTATTAAAATTTGTTAATATGAAGACAACTAACTAACTACTTTTGAATGTTTTGTCATCTATAGATTTATGGATAAACTTCATAGGTGACTTCATATGACCACATTCTTATAGGATTTTGCTGCTACCTCTCTATACGAGTGCAGAATGTTTTTGGATCATTTCTCAGCCATCTGTACTCTTTAAAAAAAATTTTCTTCAGTGCCGAAGCCATCAAGTATGAAACAGTTACTAAAGCTGCGACCGAAAGTTAGCCATAATGCGTTCGACTTAACATAACTAAAGATGGATTGTATAGCCTCATGTCGAGTTTACTCACATAGGGGAACTAGGGCAACAAATCGAGTGAAAATAAGTTACATTGATATTCTGAAATGGTAAATCATTATAGGTTAGCCGTGCAGCAATGATTCTAATTATAGATAAATTATTATACAAATAGATAAAAACTAAATCTTGAACCCGCACGAATTTTTAAGAAAATATGAGCTTGAATTCTTAAGATTCCATTTTCCTAGATAAATTAGTCTGATTTTAAGCTCACAGCAAATGCCAGCCTATCATGCTGTATGCGAAAAGGAACATTTTACGGCACCAATAAATAGTCGCTCAAATATTGACAAAGTACTGCTCTTCAAAGCATTGAATTAATTCCGTTTGTCACATGAAAAATGGTGCTGATAACAATAGAAATCTTTTTCCTGTATCGAATGCAAAAGTGTCGAGTTCTGCAAAAGGAACGTACACGAAAAACAATGTTTCTCATTTAACCTGTTGGCGACGACAGGCATCAATTCATGTCACGGGAAAAAACAGTTTATGAGCGTATATATGAATCACAATAAGGTACAATGATTTCGTCAGCTTGATTGTCCTCAAAACTGCCCATTAGTGTCGGCAACACTACGAATCGGATATGAGTTACGATTTTTTGATCTTCGCTTGTTCATTCACATTCTGTTTCTAAATATTAACAATGACAAAATTTGTCAAACACTTTTCGAAGAAAACAGACTACCAAAATTTTTTGTGTGAGGTATTCTGAAATGACATTTTTTTATCTTATAATATAGTTAATACCAAAATAAATTTTTAACAGCAAAAACAATAAGAGGTTATTCTTAAATTTGAAAGTAGACAAACAGAGTAAACATAGAATACAATATAATTTTAAGAAAAAGAAGCAAAAAAGCGACTTGGCTTACAGAATTCTCCATTTTGTAGCGCTATTTTGATCCTTCGCACAAGTACTATAACATAAGACAATTGGAAATTTGTCAACTTTGATAATTCTATAACTAATAGCCGTTCAAAAGCACAATATTCGTTCTCCCTTCATTTGATAACATTTTTGAACAAACAATAAAAACTTGTGATTTGCAATGATCCATAGTCAAGATTTTGATGCACCTCCCACCTCTACGAAAAATTAATAGATTGTACTTCAGTCATTCATTCACTCGATTCAGAGCACCTCAAAAATTAACGTACTTGTTATTGGTTTATGAAACTTTCACTGACGTTCATAGTGTGTTGTAAATGAAATAAAGTTTATTCTAAAATTTCAAGTTTTTTTAACCGATTATAGCTAAGCTATTCATTTGTAATCTTGCATAAAAAAAAATTCCTTCCTTCATTTAATATATGTTTTCCAAAGATTTCAAGTTTATTTCTAAAAATAAACACTCTTCGTTTTTTTAGAAGACGTTTAAGGCTATTTGCCCATGTATAAAAACAAATATTTCAAATTTTGAAAAATCAGAATAGATCATTCGGAGACTCTTTCAGAATCTTATTGGAAACGGAACAAGAGAAATGCATCACAATCTCAATTATCGGTTGCTACAAATCACATCTATCTTTCATTGAAACATTATTTAAAGAATAGTAAATAATCATTGTGTTTTCAAATAGACAGTAAATTCAGAGGCATAATGATCTTACTTGTTTTTGAAGTCAGAACAACAACTACGATACAAGTCACCGTTAAAGGATATAATATCTAGGCGTAAAGCACGAGAGTCAATGGACACAAAAAATGTAATAGAGACTTTCAAAATAAGGCTATAGCAGACGCTAAAAACTTAGCTATGTTCACAGTATTAAAACTAAATGAGATACATTCTTTGAATTGTCGGCTTATTGAGTGAGTCAAAAGAAACGCGTTTTCCTGGTGTTAGTTTAATGTAGTATATAACAGGATATTGTGCTTTTTTGTGATATTTCACATTATTTCGTTTTTACCGATGGTATTTCGCTACTACTTTTTATAGTGTATCACCTTGTAATGGTCTCGCTCGTTAACGAACAACTGTATCAGTAAAACCAATTTGAATCGTTTTGTTCGAAAACTTTAAACCCTGCAATAGTAAAAAGAAAAATGAGGAATTGATGAATTGCTGCTACAATGCCACTATGATTGTTTCTCGAAGTGAGTATTCGTTTGTGTTGAATGAATATAGACTTTCGAGTGTGTATGAGTGAGAGAATAAGCTCATCGCATGGTGTACAGTGGTATATATATATAAATGTGTATGATAATCCGTGATATTCTCTATAAACTTCTATTCTAAGTGATGAATAAACCTACATTTGGTGTGTTGAAAATTGACCATTTTTTATTTTTTCGAAGAGTTTATTTATTTTATTATTCAGATCATCAACTTCTTTTTTACGAGAGTCTACTTCCTCAATGTCATCATTTATTTCATGTTTTGATTTTGAAATAGTTTTCTCAACCAACTGAACTAAATCATATCTACGAATTTTGGATAGAGCCGTAAGAATATCATGTACTTTTGCACGACTATGATAACGAAACCATTTTTTTAAACATTCGGCTGCTTGTTCCTAAATTTACAGACAAAGAATGCAAACAGATTTTCTAAAATAATGTTGTACGTTGATACAATTCTCTCTTTCCATTGTTTACAGTGGCAGATTCAGAATTATTCTTTAGTACATGCGGTTACGATAAAAGTGCCAGATACATGCAGTCGTCATAGAAACAAATTATTATAAGAGAGTTCTGCTGGGAAAAAACAGTTTGTTGATTAAAGGGTACTTTCATTTAGGTCCGCCCAGTTTATACATGACCTAAGAGCCGGAAAAAATTGAAGACTCTTTCCGTGTAGAGCATAAAAAGTTACATAGAAATCCATATTTATTCGCTAAAAAAGTCACAGTCTATATGCCTTTTCAAGGATGTCAAGTTTCGGGCCTCCTTCTAATAAAGCAACTTCGTTCTTATTTTTCTCTGTCTCTACAGAGCTTATGCCACCGTTGGGCATACCACACGAAACAGCACTTCGAGTAGTACAAATACTAATATTGAAAACTTCTCCTAGTACTTTTACAGTGGCAGGCCAGCTATCACAAAATGGCTGAAAATGAAAAAACGGCACTCAGTATTTTCCCTTTTCTGAAGGCAAAACCAAACAAAAAGTACTTGCACTATACATAAAAATGAAACCAAAGGGCTGATTAATCCAACAGAAAAGGAATACGGCCGATAGGTACCTTCCTCTTTGAGTATGAAATCCATCTTTGAAGACTCCTTTTCAAAAACGGTCAACTTTCAGGTCCCACAGCAGAAAAACTATACGATAGAATTCTTTTATTTTGCTCCCATTTGTAGTACTCGTCGAGCTCTACAAAATGGCATCAAAGATAGCTTTGGCCCACTCCATTTTCACCCTCTTTTCTCGATCACAAAAGTCAGAAAAATCGATTACTGTTTTCATGTTGTCATCTGATTTTCACTCTGTTCTAAAACTCCAGTCAAGGAGAAATAGTTATTAATTCGCAATCGATCTTATTTTTAGCTAAACTAATACAAAATTGCTTATGTTCAATGAAGGCGGCTATAAGTTTCTCGCTAAACTATTGTTCTAAGCAAAGCGATACTTTTCTCACATCAAATATACTGATTTTCATTGGACAAAAGTAGACCAATACTATTTGAGAAAACAGCGTTTCAGAAATAGCATCTCTACAGCTGTTTTAAACCAATTTTGTATTAGTTTAGCTAAAAATAAGATCGATTGCGAATTAATAACTATTTCTCCTTGACTGGAGTTTTAGAACAGAGTGAAAATCAGATGACAACAT